AAGTCAGAGGCCAGGAGTTTAAAGATAATTAAGTTATGGTTAACCAGTGGATATTACAGTGGATATGGTTAAATCAGTGAATATTGCATCTGTGCGAGAGGCACTTGGAGAGGAGAAATATACGATTTGATGGCAAAGGCCAAATGCTGTGTCACAATTCGCTCGAACAGTTTAGGCAAGACACTCAACTTGGCAATGCTTCTGTAGTTTTCTACAAGCTGTCTACTTCCACTTTTGTGAATAAGGATAAGGGAACAAGTCTTCCAACACAAAGGGAAAATGCCTAAGTTCAAAGACCGGTTAAAAATCTTAGAGATAACACCATATAACTCTACAGCGGGAGATTTAAGTACACATGATGGAATTCCAAGATGTCCAGGCGCAAAGCTATGTTTTAGAGAGCTCAGGCCTTTAAAAACATTATCCTCAGCAATAACCAAATTAATAATTGAAACCAAGTAGTAATCGGATATGAATAGTTTGCTGATAAATCGAAATTAGCAGTCGAAAAGTTTTATGGGAAGTATTCCGCAGATATTTGAGGCTCCAATATCATCCGAGGACTCAGAGTCATGCGAGGGATTTATGGAGATTTTTCTTTTGGATTTAACGAACTTAAAAAAGTATTTAGGATTAGCAAACAGAGAAGATTCAAGAAACTAATGGTATCGGCAATAATGTTGGTAGTTGAGTGAATTAAATCTATGCCTTGCCGCTGAGTAAGCGAAATAGTCGAAGAAGAAAGAAAAACCATTTTTCGAAATTTTTTGAAAGCTTGTTTTCCTATTCTTGTAATAGTTGTCTTAGTAAACCACGGGGATACCTGCCCCGAGGATGAGACTGCTTGACCGAAACGGATGCAGATGATTTAATATATTGTAGAATGACGACAGTAAGCTATCAATACTTCCAGCTGGAAATCAAGCATAATATGTGAAAGATGTGATTTTAGCAATGAAACATTGATTTTATGGAAATCATAAAATTTATTTGAAAAAGTTGAATTTGGAACGCTATAGAAGTTCAAGGAACCATCATGCTTGTATTGAAAGGAAATACCCAATATTGGATGATAAGGATCCTCAGGTAAGCTAAAAGGAAGGCAATGATTAGCACAAATTCCAGGAAAATTGGCAAAGCAAGGATCAAGCAGTCTATCATTGCAATTATGGGTACCGTTGTGTTGAACTAAATTATGATCGAATAATACATTAAAGAAGAAAACATGTCTATCAGATGTTGAAGTAGGAATCAAACAGCCAGAACTATCACTGTAACACCAAGTGACTGGAAGCAAATTGAAGTCACCCAACGCAGTGACTATATCGATAGGTTTAGATTGCTTGGCCACTTCACAAATGAGGGCGGCATGTTTCTTATATATGGAGATACCCGAATTTGGGGGAATACAAGACCAGGGCACATACATGTGTTTATTAAGAAATTTCGCTCGAATGGCGATAAATTCAACGTCGGGAATAGTGGGAAATTCAATTGAGTAGGCGGGGACTGCCGCAGATATGGAAATTAAAACACCACCAGCATTGCGATCATTTCCGAAAATTTTAAAAGGAATTATGGAAAAGTTCCGACGAATGTAGATCCGGCTTTAACCAAGTTTCAGTGAAGACCAAACAGCAAAACTCCGTGCTCACTGAATTTAGGATCCAACCGGCCACAATGGTTTATTTAACAACATATCCATGTTTTCAGTCGGAACTAGAATTTTAAAAGACGAGAGTGCTCTAGGTTGAGAAGGATCCAAATTGAAAATGTTAAGACGCTTTAAATTGACTGATTTGACTCTCACCGCTAGATAACTTTTGATGTTACCCACACATGTATCAAGTGCCAGTCTTGACACAAATATTGCCTTTCAGGGAGGAACTGCCGTCAAGCGAAAATCCAGGAACAGTAGGGCTCACGGCTGGGGAGTTTTCAGTTGGGGAGAATATAGAAGGGGTGACCACACTTGCACGAGCAGGTTGTGCGACGTACCCAGTTTGGCGATCAGCGTTAACACTCTAACAGCCAGGGGAGAGGACGATTTATAATTCTCATTATTAGTTTTTAAATCAATTACAATCATCACGGGATCCGCATAATCTGTTTCCTCTGTTATCATTTTTATTGCGGTTGTCCATTTCAAGCTCTTAAGAAGATTTTGGGTTAAAAACTCATAACGTTACTGGATATATAGGTCTTATCACAAACCTGATCTGTTTCTGTTTCATATACCAAAAAAATAAAAATGTTCGTTTCTTCGTTTTTTCTACCCAATTTTTGGGTTTTTTACGGCACTTCCTTTTAAATGTTACAGGTAACAGAATGATATTAGATATATATATAGTAGAATTCCCTTGCGCCACTACTGTTATCTGTAGCAGACCAGGCCATAAGACTATTTTCTTTATTTTTATTTATTTTTTTATTAATGTAGAGAGCAGCCTTGGTAGAGTTTAAAGAGTCGGATACTGAGATTATATTATGGACATCATTTAGATTTTTACAAATGCACCTAACTGAGCTGAAAGGCTCACAGTTGTAGCTACATTGACCGAACTTTATGAAAATTAAATTTCTAGGAAAACGGCTGCGAACATTAAAGTTTATCTCATCTGATAATACTGGCGAGTCAATAGCACCATATGTTAATACAACTAAGAAGAAAATCCCAAGAATAAAAAATTTTCTCTAACGAGGATAGACCCAGCCAAACCCGTATATTTTCACAGAGAGACAAAGGAATAACCCTAATTCCACAGAAGAAAATCCAAGAATTACTTGTGAACCGTTTTTATTGAGTCAACATGGCGCACAGAGGACGGAGATCATACAACTGAAGCATATGCAATTATTCGCCTCACCAAGTTAATATATAGCTTTAATAGTAAACAGTAATAAAGAGAACAATATATCAAAAATATAAAAAAAATAAAATTCGTCTATAAAAAAATACAAGAGAAAAAGGAAAGAAAAAAAACATGTACACTTCTAGCACAGAGGGACACCCCCAACTGATACAGCTACTAAAATGTTAAGATTGCAAGTTAATTTAAATACGACATAGGCAAATTGCGGCTATTAAAGACAATTGGCTAAATAGAATTTGAAGAATCCGATAGTAAGATTAAGGACTAAATGCCTTTTGGGTATTTGCAAAAAACTTTGAACAGATTGGAAATCGCGCAATTATATCCAACTTGACAAAGCTTTATGATAATAAAGTTCCTAGAGAAATGATTCAGGAGATTAAAGTTTGCGTCATCAACTCCACCATTTCCACATAAAAAGTGAAGTAGGCTAAGAAAACAACTCATCCAACACAAAGAGAAAATTGACAAAGCACAGCTCCAGCGGTCTGCAATTACAATGAGGAGTACAATTGTTTTGAAGTAGATTTTGTTTAAATAATTCATTGAAGAACACAATAGTTCTATCAGCTGTTGAAGTGTGGACCATACAGCCTGAATTATTGCTACAACACTTAGTGGCCTGTGGCAAATTAAAATCTCCCATTATGACCATGTCACTAGGTGTAGACTTTCCCGCAGAAATATGCGCGTTTGGGGGACTGTAGGAATAGGTTTCGTACAACTGTTTACTAACAATTTTTGCGTGAGTGACAATAAATTTATTGTCAGGAGCAATAGGAAATTCGAGTGAACCGCAGCTGCTAAAACATAACTATCATTACGATCTATACTGTCATTACGATCAGGTCAGGTTTCAACCAAATTTCAATAAAAATCAAACAAGAAAACTCCGTACTCCCCGAATTTAGGTAAGTAGAGCGGAATTTTGAGTTTTGACGCATAACATTATGGTAAATGATAGTTGCTTTATCTGAGGAAACTGTTTTTTTTGCGAGTAGAAAAAATACCGAATTAATATATTGGAGTCTATCACGAAGAATAAATTTTTTTATAAAGGACCCAAGAGAGCGCAATGATTTATTTAATAAAATTTCCATGGTTTCAGTCAGAGCTAACACCTTAAAGGGCGACGTAGTTCTAAGTTGGAATGCAGCCAATTTAAATATGCTATTTCGACGATTACATTAAAGATATACACGTACTATAACCCTTATGAGGACAAGCCAACGGCCGAATCTTACTTACCGGACGGGTTAGTCTTATGCCCAGAATACCACTATGGACCTCGTCCTACCTATGTTCTCCTTCAGCCCATGATTTTAAATGGGAAACCCCGATGCTGAGTTCGACAACCCCTCTAGTATATCCTTCTCTCAAAAAAAAATTAATTTTATGAACTTCTTTTCTTTTAATTGATGTCTTAATAAAAGGATTTCATTTCTATATGTTTTTATATTTCCTCTCTATATTAACTTAAAAAAAACCTTTTTTTAATTTCTTATTATTTAAAGTTTTTTATTTTTAGTCTTTTTATTCTTAAGCGTTCAGGACTAAACACTGAGTACACGAAAAGTTATCTCCCATTGCCAAAACGTTGTACCCACTAGGATTCACATATATCCGTTTTCTAATTTCGTAGAATATTAACAAAAAAAAAAAAATTGCGGAAAGGAACCAATTCCCAAGGGCCCTGAATTGGTTTCAACTCTATAGACGCGTTTATAAACTAGGATCTTTTTTTCTCTTGTTGTTTCGCTTGATTCAACTACTATTGTGTACTTATTTGTAAATGATAACTAAATTCGCAGAAGGCCAAACAATAGTTTGTAATAGGTATTGTGTCACGGGTCTAGCTCCGCTGGCCGGTAGAGCGATTTAATTGATGGGGCTTAGCTTTCTGAGCCGCATGACAAAGAAAGAAAAAAAAACACACAAAAGGGAAAATGTTTTATGTCGGTAGCCTGTCGTTCGTCCGTCTATATTGAGTCCGACTGTATCCGTCCAATGTCTCCCTATGGTTCCCCCCTACATCGCACTCCTGCTACCGCCGTGGCATGTTCGGCCTTAGCCGCTCATTATGGCTCACAGGAAACTCGGGACACAAAAAAAAAGAAAGGTAAATACCTGTCTAACACACGTTGCCTCTCCCAAATGACGTCATGCTCCCTTCTGTAGTGCTGACGACCTCTGTGGTGATCGCTGTTGGTATCTGCCATTCGCTGCGGGTGCGATGTGGCGTATATCTGATTTTCAAACAGCATCGATGGCAAGCCACATGTAGGTAATGTTTATCCTGAGGCTATGCGTATAAATATCATCACTTCCATCAATCAAGGGAATCCAACAGGGTTCTTTTCCACCTTTAATTTGAGCGAAAGTTTACCATTTTCTAAACGAAGTCTTCTGACGTTACAAAAAAACACACTTCCCAGCCTTCAAATATTCTTCACCGTTTTTATTTTCCTTTTTTTTTTTAATGGTTTTTATATAAAATCAAAAAAACCAAGTTATGAAATTTTTCTAATTTATAATTTCGTTTTTTTTTTTGCAGTGCCGACATTGGTTAAGTTTTTGTTAATTTTTTTTTTTATTCTTTCAATTGCTTTCAATTGTTTACATTTTCGTTGCTCTCGATTTCTTTTAGGCTTGTTTACAAAATACAATATTTGAATCTTTTTTGATAATTATTCGTATGCATGGGTTTTAGGTATGTAAAAAAAATTTATGTCTAGAGTTTGACTTTTGCTAGTAAAGTTCTTTCCTTGAATACATCTTCATATGTACGTATGTGCAATTGCAGACAATGAGAAGATTCCTTTGCTTTACATTGAAATCGAAAAAAAACAAGGCGAGCCTCCGTCACATTAAATTGTACTTCTCCAACGTTTTTTTGCTTCTATTTCATTATATTTGCATTATTTGCTCAATGAAGGCAAAGTAAAACAGCACATACTCTTTAATATCACCTTTTTTTTATTTCAGAAAAAACAAAGCAAAATAATCCAAAAAAAACTTCTCGTCTCATGTTTAAATTTCTCTAACTTAACTGATGCAGGCAGGTTGGCTGCCAATTTTGACTCATATATTAATGTTAATATCTCTTTATAACAATTCTCTTTCTTTTTAAATATTGTAATATTAACAATTTAATCCTCATATATGTTATTTCGCAAAAGATATTGTAATAAGAACTTCATGTATTCCTTATGCAAAATTTCCATAATTTGATGTTATTTGCAGAGACATATTTTTGTTTTATTTATTTTTATTTTTTATTTTTTTTGCTTTCGTACGCATGCCGTCAATGATATTTAAAATAATATCTTCATACACGAATGCCATGCGCTTTGCTTGGTACATTCAACCGACACACTCCTCTCAATCACATTATTCAATTATTCTCCCTTAGAAAAATGTCTATAGAAATTGAATAAAATTTCCCCGCGGTTTTACGTTGTGCGATCACAACCAATTCAATTCTCGGCTCAAACGCAACTGACTTATATTATTCGCAAGATTTTTCTCTTTTCCTTTTTTTTTCTTCTTTATGTTGCTGTATAGCGGCTAGCCGCTACTCTTGCAAAAAAGGAAATGTACCGCATAAATGTTTTGCATAACGGGATGCCGTCACTGCAATCTTTTCGGCTGACACGGACCGACCGACACCCTACCCTAAGTCTGTTGGCGAACGTTACAATTGTTTATTGTTTCATCGACTTTTTAAGGATTTCTTATTATGTCCTTATGTCTTTTTTAATAAAAGTTAACTCCATTATTACATATCAAACAATTTTCGTATATATATGGTAGGTATGTATATAAAAGTCAAAAGACGGCTGCCCTTATGCATGCACACATACGTGTGCACCCAGCACTACCAGCATACGCAAGAATAACACCACAGAGCTCGATAGCAAAAGATATACGTGTTCTTGTACAATTTTGTTTACATTTTCTTTTCACACATTTGGATAGATAAAGTTTATGTATTTACACTGCAGTATCCGAAGAATGTAGCAATTTTTCCAGCTTGTCACTCTTACGATGCTCACTACATATTTTTAAAAATTTTTTATTTTCATTATTATTGTGATTTATTCACTTGTTTCTAGCTGCGTGTGCTTGCACTCTTTAAATCAAAACAGACTGGAGACATTTTCACGACATTAGCCGTACACAGCCAATTGAAACTAATAGCAACTTTCGTCTGTGTCCTGCGTTCAATGGTCGTCGAAATCCCAGCAATTAAGATACTTATCTTGTCGCTTTGTAGTCTCCAATTCCTTTTATTTGATACCCATATCGATGGTACTATTAAGATAAAATTAATCCATCAAGTCATGGCATAGCTAATTGTTTCCGTTTTTGTACGTAAGTAGTAGATGTGAAAATGTAAAACGTAGTAAATGTAAAAAGTTTCAGGCTTTCATCTTTCTTAATTTGTTAGTCATGAACAAAAACGCACAAATTTTTGTTTAGAAAACCGGAATTGCGTCCAGTTAACGCTTCGCTGCGGGCTTGTACTCTGACCAATTTGGCCCATTTTCAATATGGATCTGCATGCAAAAACTTCCAATATTGAAAATTTGAAGTTGATATCTCCATTTTTGCGACCAGGAGAATGTCAACAACACGCCCTACACAGACACGCGAACGTACAGACAGCAGACATGACTTAATCAATTCATAATCTCATGCTGATAAAGACTATATATATACTTCATAGGATATGAAAAGATATATAAAGTTCAAAGTTAAAGTTCACAATTCAAAGATTTCCTAAAAAATGAAAATATTGTTACAAGATGCTTTGTTTATATTTTACTTGATTTTCTCTAGGCAAGGCTCATAACACTTGATCATAGATTTCATTTATAGTTTTTAGAAGAACTATTTGCAAATCGTGTACATGAACTTATATCTACAACGCTTTATTTGTCCGTTCGAATATTGTAATTAACCTCTTTCGGTTAAATTGACTAACTTTGCCTTCCGGAAATATTCTGCTTTTGCAAGCAAGTTACCATTACCCAAATTCATCGCTACAATTTTAATCCGTCAATCCATTTTTCCGATAAATTTTCTATCAATTCTTGTTACTTTTTCCGCCACTTGCTACCTATATGGCACAAGTGACGCCCCATGAAAGCGGTTGATTTCCCCTTTTTTTAGAATTTTGTTTCTTAGAAAATCGACAAATTTTGATGTAAATCCAAGTTATCAAATATGGCATTTTCGTAACAATATGAAAACGAAAACAAAAATTGATTAACTTAATCCGAATTTTCTTCACTTTCGAATTCACCTGGCCGAATGCAGTCGTTCTCTTGTTTGGCCAGTTTGAATTTGCTGCCATGGAACAACTTAACTCGTCTTTAATTTTCGTTAACGATTGCACGATTCGCTCTTTATTTTGCTATTTTTCTTTCTATATTGTTGTTCACTCTCAATGTACACCCTAATAAAATTCAAGGTCGCAGAGCCTTTTGATGCCTTTTGTCCTGTCAACTCATCCCACATAGTTTTAATGGGGTTCATGCGTGGTGATTGGAGAAGAGGTTGAAGCACTTTGAGGCAGTTATATCAAAACCAATCTGAATTAAGCGAGACTGACTCTTGAAGTAGTTATCTTGGTAGCATTTGAATGCTTCCAAAATACCGGGTTTGTCCGTTCTTTCCCTTCTACGTCCTTAGAAAACCCCCTGGTTTACAACGCCATCCACAAACACCAATTTTCTAAACCCATTGTTCTAATGCGTACTATAGCATGACCATCGCCATGCTCGCCGTAAGCCGTTGGCACAAGAACATAACAGGAAACTTAGACTAGAATTTGCCAGGGAAAACACCCAGGGAAAACACCCCATATATACATTTGCTGTCATCAGCAAATATAACGAAAAAAATGAACTTAGAAATGTCTTTTCGATGTCCCACTGTCAAAAATATATTGGAGGAATTGGGCCACCATCTGCGAAAACACTCAATCCCTTCCGTCCAACACCTGAAAAACAGACTATAAGAGGAATGGAGTAAGATCCCTGCTTCCCACACAAGAAAAATCTTACAAAATATGTAAAAACGTGTAAATGATTTTATTTTAGCAAACAGGATACCCCGCCCCATATAAGCTTTTGATAATACGCTGTTTCTTTTTCGTATCTTTGCTTATATGAAAAAAAAACAACAGTAATGATAACATGTTTTTGAAGTTGTTGGAATTATTTAACCTTCTTGCCTACTGGAATAATGTTTTGTTAATTTTTATATTTCAAGATACATTCCCTAATAGTACAAAATAGTAAAAAAAAATTTTTATGTTTGGACAATAGACTAGGTCCAACATACGTTTACCTTTTGTTGAGCGAAAAATTCAGTATTAATGAGATTCACTGTAATTAAAATGTCATTCTTGGCATCGCAGTCCATCATATTGTCATACCCAAACACCATTGGCCATATCGCGAAAGATACTTTCCTATAAAAAAGGTGTAAAAAACGTTTTGGCTAAATGGAAAAATAATAGATTGGTTTCAGGTCTAAAAAACCAATCGAAAAGTATAATACACAATATTAAAAAATTCTTTCTAGAGTTGATTCAAGAATTTATTTCGTGCTTACACACTTCAGTTTATTAAATTTATTTTAAAAAATAAATTATACTTTGAAAACCAAACCAAGTTGCGTAAAAAATACATTACCTGCATAATCTAACTGAAAGCATAACGTGAAGTTACAACGCGTATTTGTGAGGAATGAGAATGAAAAAATTCAAAGGCATGTAAAAAACAATGCCTTACAATATACATTAAAAAAATTTATAGAATATTGAAAATCTTGTTAAAGCACACCAATTCGTGCAAAAAGAGAATAAAAGGCAATTTAATTCGTGCTAAATCAAATTTCGGGTAAAACAATTCGTGTAGAAAGTAAATTAGGTGTACATAGAATGACTTGTGCTAAAATACGAGCAAAGAATTAAGTATAATATCATGGATTAGAGGTCTGCTGTTCCGCTTATAGGGGTGGTGATCTTTATATTAATAATGATGAGAATTACGTTTGAAGTTGCTTACAAAGATAGTGACAGTTTATAATTTTGATGACGTTGGAATGGTTATGACGTTCGCTTGCTCAGTAAACTTTTGAGGTTACAAGGACATTATAAACACATAAGACCCATTTATCAATAAATGTCAAAGCCTTTTCAGACCTTTTTGTTCTTCTTTCCATAATTTTTTTTCTATTTTTTCGAAATAAAGGTAATGTCTTTGAATGTTTATATTTCCATTTAAGTGTTTTCTATTTTTCTTTTTTGTATTGACATTTTTTTTATGTACAATGGTCTATCAATTAAAGATGATATGTCATTAGAAAACAAGTGCACGAATTTATTTATATAGAAGACTAGGTAATGACATAACGGGTTGTACGAGTTACGCTAAAGTTCATAATTGTCAGACTG